TTTATTTATTTATTACCTTTAGGTGCCTTCATAAGGCCAGCTTGAAAGGCCCTTAATTTATTCGGGACCCACCCCAAAATTAAACCTTGAAGGACACGACAACAAAGCCATTATTTTGGGGAGAAGATTAAATTCTTTATTGTGCCTCCTCAACCCCTTCCACGCCTGAGCCCAGAAGCCCTGAAGGTTGGGCGTGGGGGTAAACCAGGGTTTACCCCCAAATTCACATTTTCAAATTATGGCCAGGCTTTTTCAAAAAGACAGAACGTATCTTCATCAAAACTTTGTACAGCAATAAGAATTGATGCCAACTAACATGAGTTTAGAATAGAGAGAGGAAAGGAAGTGGAGGAGGGAGGGAGGGAGAGATAAAGGAAGAAAGGAAAGGAAAAGAAAGAAAAAGAGAGAGGGAGAGAGAAAGAGAGAAAGAAAGGAGGGAAGAAAGAAAGAAAAAGAGAAAGAAAGAAGGGAAGAAGGAAAGAAAAAGAAAGGAAAGGGAAAGAAAGAGAGAGAGAGAGAGAAAGAAAGGAGACAGGGAGGAAGGAAGGAAAGGAGGGAGGAAGAAAGAAAGAAGGGAAGAAAGAAGAAAGAAAGAAGGAAGGAAAAGAAAACTCAAGTTACATCTTTGCATCCAAATACTCAAAAATAAAAAATAAAAATTAATTCAAAACTAAAAATTAAGATGAGAGAAATAAGAAATAAGGAAGAAACGCAGGTGGAAACTGGAGGTGCCTTTTTTTGCGCCTACAAATTATAGGCTGAAAATCAAAATTAAGATTCAAATCATCCAATGAATTAATGGGGGAGCGAAGCTTACAAATTGGATTCTTTTTCCTATTTCAATCAACCTTTGGCTTTGTCAGCCAATGGGCAGGAGGACTACAGGTCCCCAAATCCCCAGCTGGGGCGGCCCACAGCCCCTCTCAGAGAGTCAAGTCGTCCTGGGCCTCCTGAACCGGCTGTGGATGATGGAGTCCGTAGTCCCACACCCCCTTTTTAAAGAATCCTGGATTTTTGCAGAAGTTGCTCGTTGCTTCAACGTTTCCACTAGAGGGCGCCCGTACACAAGCCACCTCCCCTACACTCATCGGATTAAAAAATTGGATTAAAAAATTGGATTAAAAAAATATGAAATAAGCCAAAAAAAAAATGGGGGTCTCCATCTGAAGAGAAAAAAAAATATGTTTACCCAGGAAAAAGAAAACCCTCCGAGACAAAAAAAGAAAGAAAGAAAGAAAAAGAAAAGAAATTCCCGCCAGGCACAACTGATGGGGTTGGTTCGAAACTGGTGGAAAGAATTGGACACAGCACCATAGAGCCTATACAGAGTGCTTTCAACACCCCGGGCCATCGCAGATATAAACCAGGTGTAGCCCTTCTGTCCCTTCGCTTTAATTCTATTTTCCCACACACACACACACACATACACACACACAACTTTGCAAATGTTTGCTCCGAGCCAAAATCCCATTGCAAAAAAAAAAAGCAATCAAGCCTTAAGAACCTCTTTGGGATCTCCTTGTGGTCTCCCATCCCTTCCCAACCCCAGCTTCAAATTTTTTTTCCACCTTTACACCCGAGAAAAAACACCCTCTATTTTGTTTCCCAAGGGGGGAGGGAAAGTGTTTGGAAAAAAAATAAATTAAAAAAACCTCCTCCAACCCGGGTGGATTCACACGTGCAAGCGGGCTGGGAAACGGGTTATCTAGAGAGGGGAGGAAGGTCCTCCTCGCCGCTAGAGGGAAGTCTTGGCCCCCTTCTCTCTCCTCCCTCCCCCCCCCCCCAACCCGGCCAACCACAGAGCAAAGCCGGGCCAGAGCGGGCAATGGCGAAGCCTGGAGCTTTGCAAGAGGCAGGAAAGGAGCTGAAGTTTGCACAGGTAGGTGGCGGGCGTGCAACGGGCTCCCGCGTGCCCTTCCCTCTTTTGCAATCTGTGGGGGGGGGAGGTCCTCCTAGGGGGGGGCAAGTCCCTTCTGGAACACCCCCCCTCCCTCCCATTGCAATGACCCAGCTGGAATTGCAGCGGTGCAAATAATGTTTTGCAAATGTTTGCAAAAAGGGGGGCGAGGAGAGAAGGGAGGGGAGGTTGGCTGGCGACCCCCCCTCCTCCCCTTGGCCCCTCCCTCTCTGCTCAGCTGACTCTGGCCTGGGAAAAGGGAGAGGGAGGGGGGTCCTCCCTGCAAATTCCCCCCCCCTCCTGCCCCTTTCTTCCCATTTGTGGGTGGGAAAATCCCAACATTTCTTGGTGGTGTTTCCTCCTGTTTTGAGGAGCTGCTGTTGCATTGCGCTTTGGGTTTTCCTTGGATCGGGGGAGGGGGTCCATCGTGCGCAGCGGGGAGGGGGGGAGGGAGTCACAGGCTGGGGAGGATGGGATCTGTGCCCTTTAAGGCTCTTTCTCTGCCCACCCTTCATTTCTTTTTCTTTTTTTTCTCCCATCCCTCCCTTTGCCTTGCCAGGGTCGAGCCTCCGGCTCCCAGGGCAGTCTATCTGAGCCTTGGGAAGGTGAGGCCAGGGAGGCTTTTCCCAGGCCTTGCTGGGGACGATGGGCCAAAGAGCAGCCTTGTCCCCTTTGAAGACCCTTCCTGGTTGACCCACTGCTGGGTTTTCGAAATGAATTGGGGGATTTTTTTGGGGGGGGGGGAGTGAAAAAAAATGACAAAAATGGGGGAGGCAGCACAGCACCAGGCAGGTGGTTGCGGTGGGCAAACAACAGGTGCGCTTGTGGGTTTCTCGGTTCCTTTTTTTTCCTCCCCACCCCCAATAAAGCCAAAATTTGACTTCCTGCCTTGAGACGGGCATCTTTGCATCCAAATACTCAAAAATAAAAATTAATTCAAAAATAAAAAAAATGAAGATGAAAGAAATAAGAAACGCAGGTGGAAACTGGGGGTGTCGTCAAAACTTTGTACAGCAATAATCAGAATGGATGCCAAACTGAGAAGAGCTTAGAACAGAGATAGGAAAGGAAGTGAAGGAGCGAGGGAGGGAGGGAGAGAGAAAGGAAGAAAGAAAAAGAAAAGAAAGAAGGAAGGAAAGAAGGAAAGAAAGGGGAAAGAAAGAGAGAGAGAGAAAGAAAGAGAAAGAAAGAAAGAAGGAAGGAAGGAGGAAGGAAGAAAGAAAGAAAGGAAGGAAGAAAGAAAGAAGAAGAAAGAAAGAAAGAGAAGAAGAAGAAGAAGAAGAAGAAGAAGAAGAAGAAGAAGAAGAAGAAGAAGAAGAA